GTCTCGCCAACATGAGGCTGTCAGATAAAGTTGAAGGACAAGAGTTAAGTCGTCACAGGAGCACTGCCTTTCCAGAGAGTCTGGTTTGGTTTCATCTCTGAGGCCTTCTCTGTCTAACGCCCTGGCCTGTTGCACCTGCCCCCTTTCTGTAAGGAGGGCTGTGGCAGTGAGCGAGCCCTGGGCCACCTGCCTTCAGGTGCCGGTTTCTGCAACATTCCCCGCGCAGGTGAGGCGTGCTGAGTGGGTTCTCACAGGCGCGGTCAGCACCGGGCACCCGCTCAGCCCTGGCTTTTGCTGCTGCCGTTGCGAGCTGCTGTCCGGCCCATTGCTCCCGACTCCTGGCGACCCGTGCACAGCAGAGTGCGGTGGTGCCCCGTCCTGCAGCTGCCGCGCGTCCTGAGGGCCTTGCAGCCTAGGGCTCCCCTTCTAGCTCTGGGCCGGACAGACGTTCTGTCGTGACCCACAGACTTCCCATGGGCTGGTTTTCAGAACCAGTCCCCAAGCCTGCCCTCCTAGGCTTAGTCTGGAAGCTCTGCTGGAGCCCATCCACCACGGTGACCCTGCTGGTCTTCACAATACCAGTGACATCGCTCCCACGTCACAGCACCACACAAGCCGCCCCGGTGTGAGAGGGTGACAAGCGGGCGGTAGCTTTGGGCAGCCCGCTCAATGAGCACAGCAGGCCTCTGAGGATGGAGCCTGATGACCCCGATTGTACGGATGGGACATCGAGGCCCGGACAGCCTGAGTAGCTGGCACAGGGCCATGTGGCCGGCAATCACTGATGAAAACCTCCTCAGAGGCTGGCGTCTGCTTCTTGGGCAGCATTTTCCGGGTGATGATTGCACTCCAGTACGCTTAATCATTCACCCTTACGGATGTTCTCAACTCGGGGTTTTCTTTTTTAAAAAATGAGTATTTAGGCTGATTAAAAGACCATTTCCTCCTGCTTTGTAGTTACATCAACTCAGGCTGTTTGACAGTTACAGGAATAGGACTGGCGTTCCCCTCCTGATTTGTATTAACTTCATGCCCTCTCCTTCTCTGATGCCTTGAGAAAAAGCTTCATGTGCAAAGGCTGCCCACTGATGTCGCCTGCAGCGCAGCCCACAGGAGCCCCATGTGGGAACCACCCAGTGCCGTCCCAGATGATGGACACACACGGTGTCGTCCTACAACAGGCTACTATCCAGCCACAAAGAGAAGCAAAGTCCTGGTGCAGGCTGTGGGGAGGATGAAGACAGAGGACACACAGAGTGATAGAAGCCAGACACAGAAAAGAACGGCCAGAAAGCAGAGTAGAGGCTAGCGGGGTGGAGGGATGGGGCGCTACTGTGAGTTTCTCTGGGGTGATGGGAAATTTTGGAAATCAGTAGCGGTGACGGTTACCCCCCCCCCCCCAAAAAAAAAAAAAAAAAAAACCACGGCCCCTGGAACAACAGTTGTCACATAGCTCTTGTGCATCCGGCCACTCTTTGCAGCAGGTCAGCGTTGGTGACCTTGACCGTATGAAGCGTCAGCATGGGTTTCCCATGGTGGTGTGCCTGGGTGTGTTCTGACCGTCTGTCTCCTTTCTGCAGAGACGTCGGCCCCGTGCAAGGAGCGATGGGGAACAGACAAAGCCCCTCGGGCCTGTGTTTCCGCTCCCAGTTTCTTCCCGAGGAGCAGGCGGCCGTTGACCGACTGTTTGATGCCCTCGCAGCCCGTGGAAGCAGCTCGCATCCCTCACCCAGATCCTTCTCCCTGGAGGCACTGAAGGCAAGGATACCAGCCGGTGGGACTGAGGGCTGTGGCCTGGCCACTCCCGCCCGCTGTGGCCGTAAAGCCTTCTTACGGAGCGTGGGAAAGTTTGTTTTCTGCAAAGGGCCAGAGAGGAGCTGTCTCAGGCTTTGCAGTCCACACGGGCCCTGTGATGGCCCGCCCTGCGTTGTAGCCACAGACGGCACCCCACCTCTGTTGAGCACATCGGTACAGTCTCTCGTGCACATGAATGACAGGCACTCAGAGTAGACGAGCAATGCTTTGCTCCATGCTGGGACGTTGCTAACTTGAGGTCGCTGCCCACAGGGCTGGCTCTGCTCACCTTGCCATCTTGTGAGCCACCTCGCCCGTGACTACCCCTCCCAGGGGCCAGGGAACTGACCAGATGGTGGGTCTGCTTAGTGGGATTCGTGGGGCTGTGTACCTTTGCCTATGGACTTAGCGAGTGTCTGACATCCTGGGAACTGAACGGTGATCTTAACGAAGGAGTGATGTCAGAAAATCCAGGCGTTATGCCTGCCCACATGCCCCCGTTGGCCTGGTTCCCAGGCCTCTGACTGCGAATGCTCAGACGGAGGCAGATCACGGGCAGAGACCAGCAGCTCCTTGTCCTGGGAGGTGGGGGCGTTTAATGGCTCTCCCTTCTAGAACATGCCGAATGGGAGCTGAGGAGAGTGAGTGCTGGGACCCCTGACACACTCATTTGACAGATGAGAAAATGAGTCAGGACGTCATCAGGGTCACAGCCATGTGGTATGTGTCGGGTGTGTGCGCGTGTGCAGCTGTGTGTGTGCAGAGCACCACGTGGTCAGCTACAGACTGAGCTGGAGCCAGTTAAAGACCTGCCTGCAGAGAGGGCTGGTGGTCACCTGTGCGTATCGAGAGAAACGTGGCTGCCAGTTGATCAGGAAATAGGAAGGAATGAAATTTCTGTTGCAACAGAACTTAGAAAACATCAACAGAGTGCTGTGTTTGTGGGTGCGTGCGTGCGTGCACGGGTGTACCCTGTGTCATACACATGGACATTCACATGATCACACAGACACACACATGCAGGCACGTGAAGGCTTGTGCCGGCCCTGCGTCGAGTGGGTCTTTTGGCACCGTTTCTCCAGCAGCTCTGCTCATGTCACGTCTCTGTGACGTCTTGGTCATTCTCAGTCTTTCACACTGTCGTCATGCCATTGGTCACTTAGTAGACAGCGATATAGTCTCAATGCACCTTTTTTATGCACTGGGACCAAAACACACCTGGGACTAGCTTCATTGCGGCCCCGCTGTGTTGCAGTGGTCTAGCACTGAACCCACAGTGTCTCCAAGGCCTGCCTGTCTGCATATATCTGTTTATGTGTGTGTACTCACACGTACTTAAACACGTACTTGCCAACACAGGTTCAGAGCTGCTCGTACGTGTGTTCTTGCTGTGCTATTGTCTCCCCATCACATACACCGTGTTGTTGTTAGGTGCTGTCCAATTCTGACTCCGTGACCCTGTGGACAGCAGAACAGAACCCCGCCCGGCCCTGTGCCCTTCTCACAGTCAATGCCATGCTTGAGCCCGTCGTCACAGCCACTGTGTCAGTCCATCTTGTTGAGGGCCTTCCCCTTTTTTTCTGACCCTCTAGTTGGGAAAAAAAAAAAAAACTCACTGCCGTCAAGTCAGATGCGACTCGTGGCAACCCCTCCCTGGGTTTCCGAGGCAGTATCACCATGGCAGTAGATGCCCAGTCTTCCTTTGAGGAGTGCCTGGTGGGTTTGGACCGTCAGCCTGGGTCAGCAGTCAGATGCCTGAGGCACTGCGCCACCAGAGCTCCTGACCTTCTAGTGACCCAGCATGATAGTCTTCTCCAGGGGCTGGTCCTTGGTGACAGGGTGACCAGAGTATGGGAAACGAAGTCTGGGCATTCTCCCTTCTAGGGAGCATTCTGGCTGTACTTCTTCAAAACAGGTTTGCTCATTTTTCTCTCAGTCCACGGTGTTTTCTGTACCCCTCGCTCACACCATAACTCACATGCATCACCTCTTCTTCAGTCTTCCTTGTTCATTGCCCCGCTCTTACGTGCATGTGAGGTGATTGAAAGCACCATGGCTTGGGTCAGGTGCACCTTAGTCTTCACAGTGACATCTTTGCCCTTTTACCGCTTTAGAAATGTCCCGTGCGGCAGACTTGCCCAGTGCAGTATGGTGTCTGATGTCTTGGCTGCTGCTTTCATGGGTGTTGATTGTGGCTTCGAGTAAAATGAGATTCCTGACAACTTCAGTCTTTTCTCCATTTATCATGATGGTGCTTATTGATCCAGGTGTGAGGATGTCTGTTTTCTTCATGTTGAGGTGTAGTCCATCCTGAGGCCTGTAGTATTTGATCTTCATCAGTAAGTGCTTCAAATCTTCCCTGTCAGCAAGCAAGGCTGTGTCATCTGCGTATCACAGGTGGCTAATGAGTCCTCCTCCAATCACTACCTCCTTTTTTCTTCCGTGTCTTTTAGTGACATTGTTCCCCTCTGTCAAGCTATGTCTGCTGCACCCTCATCAGTGTTGCCTTTTTATCACCGAGGTGACGAGTGAGAACACGGAGTGTTGAGAGGGGAGGCTGGCGGACGGGAGCTGCTGCAGCCGCTTTACAAACCCTGTGTATGGCTCACGTGCTCCAGGAGAATTCTGGATTCGCAATTTCCTTTTGCCATTTGTAATCCCTTTTGCCAAAATCAAATTTGATGCTGGAGCCAGAAAGGGAAAAACGGCACTTAGCAGAATGTTACCTGAAGGCATTCGTTAAGGATTAAGTTAGAAATGTAAATAAAAATTAATGAAAAGCGCGTAGTGAGGACAGAGAAGGTGTGTGAGAGGTGGAAGCTAATATGTGCAGGAGTCCCGGATGTAACAGACCGAGTGAGCCACGTGGGGGTGGACGTTACCCACCCCCGTCAACTCCGACTCCTGGAGACCCTACAGGGCAGGGGAGAACTGCCCCACAGGGTTCCCGAGGCCGTAAATCACAGAAGCTGGCTGCTGTCTCTCCCATGGAGCAGCTGATGTTCAGACCACTGTCCTTTCGGTTAGCAGCTGAGCACTTTAATCACAGGTTCTTGGACATACATCACGTGTATTAATACTGTGAGACATGCACCCAGCGGCTAGTAGACTCTGGAAGAATGGAGGTGCTCCCGGCAGAGTGAAGAGCAGATGGGGGTGGACAGAGGCAGGAGCGATGTGGCCTGTTGGGGGAGTTTGGAGGTCAGAGTGAGGGACCCAGCGGTGGAAGGCTCTGATGGCCGAGAGGTGCCATCATCCGGGACATCGCACGAGGTCCTTGGTGGGGGCAGAGATGGCACACGTGGCCTTCCGGGAACTCCGGAAGCTGACGACATGAAGGAGTTCTGGTTGGTCTGGCCCCCTGGGTATTTTTCTGGGGTGCCGTCAAGTTAAACTCACCCCTGATTCAGCCTTTGTCTCCTCCTCCCCACCAGGGCCATGCTGGGGGAGCGCTCCCCGCAGTGATGGTGACCAGGCTGTACGATGGCATGCGGAGGGTCAGTCCAACAGGCATGGCGAAGAGACCCAGTGAGAACGTGTCCCGGGAGCAGCTCACCATGTTCCTGTCCTGCCTGCTCAAAGGGAGCTCGGAGGAAAAGAGCCTCGTGATCTGGCAGATGATTGCTGGCACCGAAGGTGCTGTGAAGGCGAGAGACGTCCAGAAGGTACCGGGGGAGCCCTCTCGGCCCCCCATGCTCCCGCGTGTCTACCCCCAGGGTCCTTAGACCAGGAATCGTTGAGGTCACAGCTCCCAGGCAGGCTGTAGGCCAGCAGAGGGTCTAATTAGGAAAACAGATAGCTATCAAAGACGTGACCTGTGTTGCTTCTCCCCACCTTGGGGTCTATTAAAGAGATAAAGTGCACCTCCTTCCCCATGTAAGTGTAACACAGGCCCAAGGGCACCGTGACATGTTTTTAACGGTGATACTGTGGCCTTCAGTTTACAGAGGACCTGGTGGCATCGGTAATGCATGTGCTGGACTACAGACAGGAACTGAGAGGCTGGCCGTCAAAGGAAGTGCCAGGCGCCCCCTCCAGGGTACAGGCGATGGCTGCCCAGCTGCTCTCGGAGGTGAAGCTGCCAGGCAAGTGCCACCCGGTCCCCTGTGCCCTTTGGACCCGGGACCTGCTGGCCTCCCCAGCACAGGCCTTGGAGGCACAGGGTTGAACCATGCTGTCTTAATTGCTGTTGCCGGCTCATGGGGAAGGCCATGGCTCCCCCGGGGGCCCCCGCAGTGCAGCTCGGAGAGGAAAGAAAAGCCGTGGGTGCAGTTGTCTGGATGAGCACTGTCCCAGGGAATCATCATGTGGGCACCAGTGTAGGCCAGCCCTCAGATTGTAAGCTACAAATTCAGTGGCCACTCGGACACAATAAAAAGAAACCAGTGGAATTAATAGTATGTTATATTTAATCCAGAATATCCAAAATATAATTAAAATGTGCAACCAGTATAAAAACAATGAGTTATTTTACGTCTCATCTTGCACACGAGGTCTTGCACTGTGGCACGTCTTGGAAGCCACAGTGGCTCGTGGCTGCCACCTTGGGTGGTGTGCGTTTAGAGCTGGAACATTGGGGTGTGTGGGAGCCCGGCTCACGCTGCGTCCTGTCCACCCCTGCCCCCAGATGGCCGGAAGCTCCTGGAGCCTGTGCAGCTGGACTGTGCCTGTGGCCAGGCCGTGATCGAGGACTGGGTGTTCCAGGCTCCCCACGTGGCCACGTTTTTGAGCGTGGTGATCCGCAAAGGCCTTCTTGTCCTGAGTGCGTCCCTCAGTCTGGCCACCCTGATCCCCGAGTGTCGTGTTGACCAGGGACAGGAGTTCGTGAGCATCCTGGACGTGCTGTCGGCCGTCTACATCAACGCCCACCTGCCCAGCGAGCGGCGGCACCGGTGGCAGCTTGTGTTCTCCTCCCAGCTCCACGGACACAGCTTCTCCCAGCTCTGCACGCGCATCACTCACAGAGGGCCCTGCATTGTCCTTCTCGAGGACCAGGACAGCCATGTGTTTGGCGGGTTTGCGTCCTGCTCCTGGGAGGTCAAGCCTCAGTTTCAAGGTAAGACCTGGTGACCTGAGCGTCAGGGCTTCCTGGGCGCAGAACGTGCGTTAGGAATTCTGCTCACACTTGTGCATGGTGTTCACCATGGTCACAAGGTGGACACAACCCAGGCATCGATCCACAGAGGAACAGGCCACCAGAATGGTCTCTGCACACAGTAGGACTCTGTTCAGCCGTGAGGAGAGATGCTCCTGGCATGCCGTGGGTAGACCTGGAAAACACGTGCTGAGTGACCTCAGGCAGGTGCCCAAGGACGTGCAGTGCAGGGTCCCACCTACATGAGCTCTGTAGACCAGGCAGAGGCAGAGGGAGTTTATTCCTGCTCACCAGGGGCACGCGGAGGAGGGAGAGGGGGTTACTGCTTGGGAGCACTGAGGGTCTGTGGGGGGTGATGGGAAGATCCGGAAACATGTAGTGGTGATGCTTGCACAATGTGGGGAACGTAATTAATGTTGCAGAATTGCAGACATACAGAAAGGATGACGCAGCAAGCGTTTTAAGTGTTTTTACCACAATTAAAAGAAATTCCAAGGGGACGGCTGCTGCCGTTGGAGACCCTGAGCACTGGTAGTTGGAACCTACCTGTGATTACTGGCCCCTGTCCTGGTGTTTAGGGAGGGCTGCCTCTGTTTCAGACGTTGTTAGGAGAGTGAAGCCCTGTTGGTGTACTGGTTCAGCACTCAGCTGCTAACCGAGAGGTGGGCTCGAGCCCCCAGCCGCTCTGTGGGAGGAAGAAGCAGCAGTCTGCTTCTGTAAGGATTGACAGCCTTGGGAACGCTGGGGGACAGTTGTCGGTCCTGCAGGGGTGCTGAGAGTCAGGGTTTAACTCCATGGCGGTGGGCTGAGGAGGAGGGTGCTGCCTTAGGCTGGGTGAGCACCCCCTGGGTGAGCCAAGCAGGACAGGCTGCTGCCGCCAGGTGTGCAGGCGGTAGGCAGGTGACATTGCCGCCAGGTGTGCAGGTGGTAGGCAGGTGACATTGCCGCCGGGTGTGCAGGTGGTAGGCAGGTGACACTGATGTCGCCAGGTGTGCAGGCAGTAGGTAGGTGACATTACCGCCAGGTGTGCAGGCGGGTGACACCGCTGCCACCAGGTGTGCAGGCGGTAGGTAGGTGACACTGCTGGTTTAAGAGCAGGTGTCCCCCCGGCCAGTCTCCTGCCCTGGAGCCCTGGGGGTGCGGGCTCTGCTTCCTCGGGCTCTCGTTTCCATAGTTACTTAGACTGGGATTAGGACACCTGTTGCCCCTGGAGCCCTGGTGGGGGCTTGGCTGCTAACCAATAGGTCGGTGGTTCGAGCCCACCCAGCGCCTCCACTGGTGGAAGCTAGTGATCTGCTCAAAGAGCTGCCTAGGAACCCTGTGGGCAGTTCCACTCCGTCATGTGGGGGCGGAGTGAGTCAGCACCAGGCCCACAGCACCACCAACGGCTGCACTACCTCGAGCGTGCGGGATGAGAGGTTCTAGAGCATTTGTCCCCTCCCCTTAAAGGAAAAGGCTGGGGGAAGTGGCCCTTTGACAGTATGTCCCGCAGCCTCGCCTCTGGGTGATCGCTGCTCTGCACTCAGGCGAGGCGCCCTCCCAGGGCCTGCGTACCCTGCGGCTGGAGCGTGGTCTTCCCCAGGGTGGCAGCCTTGGGCCTGCTGTACCACCTCTTCCTGCACACCCTGCTCTTGCGCACGGTGCACCCAGAGGAGAGCAGGGGCACCCTCCCCACCCGCCCGATGGCAAGGCTTTGGGGAAGTGAAGAGCTGGCCCGGCTACCCGAGCAGCGGGAGGCCTTATTCTGCGCCCGGCAACGCCTTCAGGCTCATTCAGCGGCTCCCGCTCCTGCTTCCAGCTCTGTCCACCTCCGCTGTAGCCCGTGCTGGTCGCCGTGTTTCGGTGACGAGCAGAACCCATCTTTGTAGGTGAAGTGTGTATGACCGGGTCTGGGAGTTGAGCTCCAGTTCCTGGATGGGAGGGTGAGGTTCCAGAAGAGAGCCTTGTGGTGGGGCTGGCACAGCCCATGGGAACCGGGCAAGGTCGAGAAGGCTGTTTTCCGTTTGTCCTGGAGATAGTAACACTTGTGTTCGACTGAGGCCTTGGTGGCTCAGTGGTAGAAGCCCCCCTTACCCGCAGGGGCCCCGGGTTCCAGTCCCGGCCAGCGCACCTCAGGAACAGCCCCCCCCGTCCGGCAGTGGGGGCTCGCGTGCTTCCAGACAGACCAGGGAGCAAGGCCTGGCAGTCCCTGTGGGTCAGGGACGGTGTGAGGACAGTAGCATTTTGTTCTGTTGCACGTCAGGTCGCACGAGTCGGGCTGACCCCACACCACCAACGGTAGTATTTAGGAAGTGGAAGTGAGCTAATGGCCGTGGGGCCCACTTCATTTTTCTTACGCTCTCGGTGGTGCAGATGAGAAACGCCAGGCGTTGGACTGAGAGCACAGGCTTTGGAGTCCCTGCTCTGATCAGCCAGCCAGGAGGCCCCCAGGTCTGTCTGGGTTGGGGTCCACAGGCCCCACTGGCCCAGACTCTGCCGGGAAGGTCCTTCAGCCTGCTGGGTGCTGTCCTCCCTGAGGCCCTACTGGGCCTTGGCCCCCTCTCACCACCTCCATTGTGCCCCAGCCCTGGTTCCACGTGGGGTGGCTAACCCACAGATACGGTTCCCTGCTGCCTTCAGGCTGCAGTCAGGAGACGGGGCAGTCTTCCGTCCAGTGCGTCTCCTGCTGTGGAAGCTGTGGATGGGGTGAGCCCCTGGCTGGGAGCTTCCTGGGGGCCCAGTCTACACCCCCTCCCAAGTCTGACAGTGCTTGTTTGAATGAATGAATGAAGGGACCGCTCTCTGTGCCTGGGGACCTTGGCTGTTCCCAGAGCCGTGGCCCCTGTGCCCCCTGGTCCCTCCTACTGTCTGTGCCTTTCCTGGGCAGCTGGCCGTCTCAGCTGCCTGCCCATCTGGATGATGCTTGCTCTTACCGGGAACAAGGCTGCACAACTTCATAGCCCTGTGAGGCAGGCTGAGCGGGAGCCGGGGCCATGTCCGTGAGACTGCTGGCCGATGGCTCCCGCATTCAACACAACCCTCGCTTCCTGATTTTGGGCTGCTGGGTCCACCGAGCCTGCATCTTGCCTGAGTCTGACACACCGGAAGGAGTTAAGGTGTCCACCCTTCCTGGTGAGAGTACATGTCCCAACGGCAGATGCCACGTTCCTTTTTAGTTGTCCTCCTAACCATTCCCCACCCCAACTCATTGGCCTGGGCCCTGGGATGTTGTTGTTGTTATTGTTAGGTGCCGTCGAGTTGTCTCCGACTCAGCAACTCTATGCACAACAGAACGAAACACTGCCCTGTCTGTGCCAGCCCCACAGTCCTCGCTATACCTGAGCCCATCGTTGTAGCCACTGTGTCAGTCCATCTCGTTGAGGGCCTTCCCCTTTTTCGTCAACCTTCCACCTTACCAAGCATGACATCCTTCTACAGGGAATAGTCCCTTCTGACAACATGACCAAAGTAGGTGAGACGAAGTCTGGCCATTCCCGCTTCCAAGGAGCATTCCGGCCGCACTTCTTCCAGGGCAGATCTCTTAGTTCTTTAAGCAGTCCACAGTACTTGCAGCATTTTTCACCAGCACCACAGCTCAAAAGCATCGACTCTTCTTTGGTCTTCCATTTTCACTGTTTAGCTCTCACATGCATATGAGGCGATTGAAAATATCACAGCTTGTGTCAGGTGCACCTTAGTCCTCAAGGAGACATCTTTGCTCTTCGGCACTTGAAAGAGGTCTTTTGCAGCCAATTTGCCCAGTGCTGTACGTCATCTGATGTCCTGACTGCTGCTTCCATTGGTGTTGATTGTAGAACCAAGTAATATGAAGTCTTTGACAACTTCAGTCTTTTCTCCATTTATCATGATGATGCTTATAGGTCAGTTGTGAGGATTTTCCTTTTCTTTATATTGAGGTTTAATCCATACTGCAGACTCTAGTCTTCAGTCTTCATCAGTAAGTGCTTCAAGTCACCCTCACTTTCAGCAGGCATAGTTTTGTCGTCTGCATAACGTAGGTTGTTAATGAGTCTTTCTCCTATCCTGATACCACGTTCTTCTTCCCATAGTCCAGCTTCTCGGATTATTTGTTAAGCATACAGATTGAATAAGTATGGTGAAAGGATACAGCCTTGACGTACTCCCTTCCTGATTTTAAACCATGTAGTATGCGCTTGTCCTGTTTGAACAATAGCCTTCTAGTCTGTGTATAGGCTCTTCATGAGTATGATTAAGTGTTCTAGAGTTGCCATTCTTCTCAGTGTTACCCACAATTTGTTAATGATCCACACAATTAAATGCTCTTGCATAGTCGATAAAACGCGAGTAAACATCTTTCTGGTATTCTTTGCTTTGAGCCAAGATCCATCTGACATCAGCAATGATATCCCTTGTTCCACATCCTCTTCTGAATCCCGCTTGCCCTGGGATAGCACAGGGAAACTGCCACTGACCTCATGCGGCCCCCTGTCTGGGTGAGGAGAGTGAGTTCAGGAGGTACCTGTGCGTTCAGGGCATACCTGGGCATCCAGGTGCTATCTGCGTGTTCAGGGCATACCTGTGGCCGTCTCTGCAGCCGTGCCTTCTGAGATGTGCCCCTTTGCACTCCCTGCTGTTCCCGGCCCAGCTTGGACCCAGCACGACCGTTTATTTCCTCTCTGGTCCGTTTCAGGGGACGACAAGTGCTTCCTGTTCTCTGTGTCCCCCCGCATGGCCGTATACACATGCACCGGCTACAATGACCACTACATGTACCTGAACCACGGGCAGCAGACCATCCCCAATGGATTGGTAAGGCCGGCAGCAGGGCAGCTTGGCTTCCTCTTGTCACTTGGGGGATGCACTGGACCCGGGTTAACACAGGGTCAGAGGTGCAGGCTTTCCTCCCTGAGCCAGGGAAACGCTCCTGTTGTGCAGGGTGGGGGCTCTGTGCCCTCGGTGACGACACGTGTGCTCAGTGAGGATGGAACAGAATTTCTTTTCTGGACGGATGCCACCACTGCTGGGCCGTCTCATGGTTTGGGAGTGAATGGCGTGTTGCCCAGATGACCGGTTGGTGGCCCTGGGTCTGGGTGTGGCACTGGTGCACCTGTCCCCACACTCCGTCCTGCGGCCGGCCTGTGGTGGGCCGTGGAGGACCCGGGCTGTGGTTACCTCTCTGATGTGCTTCCCTGGGCCTGCTGGCGTCGTCTTGGGGGGCTTACTGCCATGCGTGGCCATGACACCTGGCTGCTCCTTGTGACCTCTTGGCCGCAGGAGGTAGATGGTGAAGGCCAGGGGCTGGGGGCTGGAGTGACAAAGGGCATCTGTGGGTGATGGGACGAGAGCCAGCACGTGTAGCTGGCCTTGCTCGTTTGGCTCATTCACTGGGGAGGGGAAGGCCCCCTGTCTGCACTCCAGCCAGGTTCTCCTCTCAGTCCCTTAACAAAAAGCTCCTTTTAGGTAATTCCAGCTGCTTGCACAGCCAGGGCTGGCTGGTGGGTCCACCCCATGCTCCCCAGGGGGCATGCCGGGAGGGTGTGCCTGACGCCCGAGGACATGGGCTGCCCTGGAGGGTTGGCTGCGCTTTCCTGCTTGTCTGCTCTGTCAGAGCCAGGGAGGGGCTGCAGCGCTGTGGGCCCCCCGGGGGACCAGGAGTGGCTGTGGCAGCATTGGGGGGTAAACGAGGCTGGTGCGGGACGTGCCGTGTTGAGTCGCATGCTTGGTGGTGGCAGACGGCCCGCATGGGTGACGTGGCTCTGCCGTGCTCCCTTCGCAGGGCATGGGTGGCCAGCACGGCTACTTCGGGCTGTGGATTGATGGCGACTTTGGAAAGGGACACAGCAAAGCCAAGCCTGCGTGTACCACCTACAACAGCCCCCAGCTGTCAGCCCAGGAGGACTTCCAGTTCCACAAGATGGAGGTGTGGGCTGTCGGGGACTTTGACTCTCACCCGGTGAGTGGCCACGTCAGAACCTGCACTGGGTGGGTTAGTGGAATTCCCTGGAACATGGGGACCCATGGACTCAGGCAGTCCCTCTGATCCTCTGCCCGTCAAAGTGCCTGGAGCGGCCCTCTGGGTCCCCAGTTCTGTGCTTGAGTCCCTGCCAGGCCCCCTGTGTCCCCCGTAACACCCCATTACCTCTCAGCACGGGGGCAGGACCAGAGGCCACCTCCTGCTGTGACAGCAGCAGTGTACTGATCCCCCCAGAAGAGGCTTGCAGGCTGGCAGGAAGTCACCTGGGGCCTCTCTGTGCAGCCCCTTGAACCCGCCCCGCCTCCCTTCTCATTCCAAGGCCAACAGCAACAAGAGCGTCCTGGACTCGGACCCTGAAGCCAAGGCCCTGCTGGAGATCACTGGGCGGAGCCAGTACAGTGAAGGGCTCCGGGAAGTCCCAGATGACAAGTGACGGAGCGTGGGGTGGCAGCTCCCAAGGCAGGATCTTGGCGTCCTCGACCAAGTGCGCACGTCTACCACACCCTTCCCACTCAGATGCCGCGTCTCGACTGGCCGGCGTCGCTCCTCAGACTCCGACGCGTCACATGAGCAGCTCAACCCTTGCACTTTTGTTCCTTCTGTACGGGTGAAACCCAAGACACAAAGGTGTCTTAAGAGCTCTGCGGGGTCAGCTTTGCTGGGAACAGGTTCTCACTTGCAGGAGGGGCCTAACCCCCGACCCTCGCAGCCTCGGTGCAGCCACCCCGTTGGCCAAGTGAACACACCGCCAGGTCCTCCCCGCCCCAGCGTGCCCTGGCATCTGTCTGAGCTGGGGAAGGGCGCAGGCATGGGGTGAAGTGCTCAGTGCCTTTTGGTGACAGTGCCTTGTACGTGAGGGCTCACATTTATAAAGAGCAGCAGTGTTTGCAGTGGGGAGCCAAGGGGCTGTTTTCATGGTGGTGTTGGGGCAGGGGCCCACTGTGGCATCCACCATTCTCACCACGTGTAGGTAGACCTGTGCTGGGACCCCCCTTCCAAGCCACATGTAAGTGAACTGTGCCATGAGTGAGAGGGGCTAAGATGCTGAGGGGGGTTTCTGATTTTAGTGCGGACACCTGGGGCCTCTGAAGCTGGTGGCATCATTGATACACATATGCTTTATGTGTGTAACATACACATGCATGCGTACACAGGTGTGTACACGTGTGCATGCATGTGTGTGTAATCTCTGTGATCAAACCAGTTGTTGCTGAGTGGATGCCAACCACGGCGACCCCAGCTGTGCCCCAGAACTGTGCTCCACGGGGTGGGCAGGGCTGTGGCCGTCAGCAGCGCACCGTCAGGCCTTTGTTCTCGGGGCCTCTGGATGGGTTCAGACCCCCAGCATTTGGGTTAGTAGTTGAGCACTTAACCTTCTGCACCACCTGGAACTCCACCATCTCTTCAGGCTCGTCCTGTGTGTTCCTGGTCACTGAGGCGCTCAGCCCGCCTTCTGTACCCACCCCTGCCCTGCCCAGCTCCTGCTGTCCCGCCGATCAGCGTGGCCTGCTTGCCCAGTGCTGCTCCACGAGTGGACTCTCTCTAGACAGAGGCCCGGTGTTGGCAAATGCTGACAGGTACCTGACGCAGTCGCAGGTGGGCTGGTCCTTGGGCAGAACTGCCACCTCCCTGCCTGAGGCAGGCCTGAAACCCATAAGCACCCTGGGAGTCCGTCCACACCGCTGGCCGAGAACACCGTGCGAGGAGCTGCCAGCACGTCTCTAAGGCGTGGACTCTTCTCACCTTTTGCTGCAAATGTTGGCCTTTTGCGGGTCTGATGAGAACACAGACCTTAGTACACAGGTGGCCTGGACCCCAAGCCATGGTTCACTGCGCCATGTGCATTTGGCAAATTCTGCATTTTCTGTGAGCAAAGCAAGAGGCTCGTGCAGGAGCCTTGGGAAGGAAGGTGCGTGCTGAGGCGGCGTGGGAACACCGGCACCAGGCCGACGAGGACCAGCTCAGGACAGAGTCTCGAGGAGAAGCCAGTTTCAGTAGCTGCTGGTGGACCTCCTGTGACCTCCCTGATGCAGTAGGAGATGGGGGATGGTAGACCCCGCAGACACTGCTCCCATAAACCCAGCGCCTCATGGGTGCCGGAGTCTGTCCTGGAATGTATTTACACCTATGCAATTAAATACCTCGCTCTCAAAGGCCTCTCGGTGTCCATGCCTTTGGTGCCGCCCACCGTGCCCTCTGCACGGCCATCAGTTAGGAGTCTCCGCCCGCACACCGGCCTTGTGCATGCTCTCAGGAGAGGACAGGTCACTGTGTACGTTGCTTAGTGGGTCAAACAGTGGTCTCCCCTGTCTGACAAGGCTGCACACCTATACGAAGAACAGGGTGCCTCTTCCAGGTGCCTGGGAGTCGGGGGCCAGGTGCCTGGTAACCTGGGAGATGGCCCTTTCGAGGGTCCTGATGTGAGGGCTTTACAGTTTCTGGGGTGAGGGTCTCCACATCACTGATTGAGAGCACACAGATCTGTATGAGGGGTCAGTCTCAGCCTGGGGCCACTGGTCTTGACAAGACACCCTTTACTTGGGACTGGGACCTCAAGGTGCCACTTGAAGAGTGTGTTATTTTATGAAATGGGAATAAGAATTCAGGTAGTGGGACTTGTTAGGTGCCATCAAGTTGACTCTAACTCACAGCCACTCCGTGTGACAGTAGAACAGCCCCAGAGGGTATCCTAGGCTGTAATCTTTATGGAGGGCCCCAGTAGTATGGTGGTTAAAGCACTCAGCTGCTAACCAAAAGGTCAACAGTTTGAACCCACCGGCCATTCTGTGGGAGAAAGAAAACCCTGTGGGCAGTTGTACTGTGTCCCATAGGGTCTGTGAGTTGGAATCGACAGCAATGGGTTTGGGTTCGGTTGGTCGGTGGTGTGTTAGGTCAGTGCTTGGCTGCTAACAAAAAGGGCAGTCTGAACCCCCCAGCTGCTCTGCAGGAGAAACGTTTACAGCCTTGGAAACCCAGCGGGTCCGTTGTGCTCTGTCCTGTGAGGTCACCGTGAGTCAGAATTGACTCTGCGGCAGTCGATTTGGCGTTTTTGGGGTGAGCTTTGTGGGAGCAGATGGCCAGGTCTCTGCTGCCGAGCCACTGAGTGGGTCTGAACTGCTGACCGTTCCACTGGAGGCCGAGCGCTTAACCACTGTATCACCAGGGTTCCTGGAGGTGTTTGTTTTCTTCCTAGAGTCTCTTGACAGGTGAAGATTTATCAGGGCCCGGAAAGTGCTGGAAGGAAGAGGCGGCAAAATGTGGTGCATGTTGCAAACATGATTATTTTTTCCCTAACCAAGTCCTATTTTTAATTATAAAAAAAAAAAAACGAACCAGTGCGGCACTCCTGGTGAGATCCGGGTCCAGAAGGAGAGGAGTGAAAGGTAAGACCCCTTCCTGCCCCGTCCTGCTGTGCTTCCGGCCCAGAGGCAGCACTGCTGGTGAACACTAGGTCCCCCTGCTTTAGAGGTACCGCCCTGCACGCCCAAGCGCGTTCGTGTTGCACGCACTGGCGTTTGCTCACTTTTCTTCTTCTGGTTGTAGATGAGTCTGTGTCCACTTGGCTGCCCGGCCTCTTGGTTTAGCTGACTCTCGATGCTCCACGGCTGGGAGCCCTCACCGCCAGCCTCCCGCCACCCCGGCCGGTGGACGCCTCGTTGCGCCGATCAGGACTCTGGTGTTCTGTGTGAGAGCTTGCTCTGTCCTGTCTGAGGGAGAAACTCTCAGAAGCTTAACTGTCGGCTCACAAGATGTGGTGTGTTTACGTTTTTTAAATAGATGGTGACGACCCCTTCTTAGCTCACTTAAATACTCCTAACACGCCACAGTACTTGTCTGCCCTGTCTTCACCAGCACGATATTAAAATTTACTTTCTGGTCACCTGCTAGATGAAATCTGCCATTTTCTGTCTTAGGAGCAAGAAACGTTGGCTTTAAGAAGCCATCTGTGTCCCTTTCCCATCAACTCTGATCATAGCATTTTCTTGGTTGCCTAGGGCTATGGCCTCTGTACGCGGAGTGGTTCACAGCGCGCTTTTACGTGAAGCGTGAGTGCACTGCCATGTACAGAAGTGCTGCTTTCAGTTTGATGTTACTTGAGGTGTTTCCCGTTCTCATATTCTCTGGCGTGTTCCTTTATGTTTTTTCTGCGTATTGTAACCTGCTTAACAAGTCCACCTTCACTTTGAGATTTTAAAAACGTTACATGTTTTCTGCCTCTTATGTGGTTTCCGTTTTTACTTTGATTTCCTCCAGCTTTTTTCCTTTACAGGATTGTTTCACCTATTTTGCTTTCTTTGTGTGTCCATAGGAATATTACAGTAAGCATGTCAGTGTCTGCAGAACAAACCCTATTGGGGCCTGCATGGGAACCGTGTTTACCCGGTAGACCTATTTGGGGAAAACTGACACCTTCAACTGTGTGGAAGGTTCCAGTCCACAAACACACCATTGTCTCTCCATTTGTTCAGGGTTTCTTTGATGGCATTTGGTGGTTTTCAGCAGAAAGATACGTGACTTGTCAGTGGATACTGTAAATGGCATTGGTTTCCCACTTCAGGTTCCGGGGATGAGTTACTAGTCTCTACAAATACAGCTGTTTTTGTGTATTAACCTTGAATCTCGCAACCTTGCTCAACTCACTATTTAGTTCTAGGAGTGTGTGTTTTTTTTAAAGATGACATGGGATTTTCTACATAGACAATAATGTCATCTGTGAATAGGATTCATTTTATTTTCTCTTCCAGGAGTTCTGGTGGCATAGTAGTTAAAGCATCTGGCTACTAACCAAAAGGTTGGCAGTTTAAACCCACCAGCCGCCCTGCAGGAGAAAGAGGAAGCAGCCTTGCAAACGCTAGGGAGTGGTTCTATTTCTCCCCTTAGCGTCGCAATGACTCAAAATCTACGTGATAGCAGTGGGTTTGGTTTTGGGTTTAATCTTGTCCAGTGCCTTTCTGTTTTCTTCTCTTACCGTATCACTGGCTAGGACTCCCAGTACTGCAGTGAACGGGACTTTTGGTAAAGAGTGGCCATCGTGGCCTGGTTCTTAATTGCAGAGGGAAGGCAGATCTTTTTTTTTTTTTAATTGTGATTTGGGTGGAAATTTACAGAGCAAATTCATTTCCATACAGCAGTTCACATACGCTTTGTCTCATGACATTGACTACAATTTACCACAGTGCAACAGCTCCCCTCCCACTTCCTCCCCATAGTTACCTCTTCCCAGCGTCCATCCCTCCATACACTCCTGCCCCCTGAGTTGTCTCCCTGTGCATACACACCTCTTCTTTCTCCCATGATTGATCTCTCCAAGGAGTGTGTCTACTTCAGGTTCATGTTCAACTCATATGCCTGTCTTTTGTTTGGCTGGAAGCCACAGGTGTGGGTTCAGTTCCAGATCTGAAGGGCATCTAGGCGCCATAGTCTCAGTTGGTT